CTGAACAAACGGTCATAAGTCAAGAACTTTCTGTATAGTAAGGCAGTCTTTTTCAAAGCTGGCAACTTTAAGATGCATGAACTGGGGAATGCTGGCTGGAGAATTCTGGAATCTAAATCTATACATCTTAAAATGGCAAAGTTTGAAAAAAAAACTGCAATAAGGGATTTGAAAACAATAATTACTGGGTGTTGACAAGCAACAAAACCTGACCTTGGGTAATAATTCTTATTTAGTGGGCCAAATATTAATCCCTTTATTTTCTAATGTGATATGTGTAAATTCCTGAATGAATTTAGATCTTACATGTTTAGAAAGATTTTCCCTTTTTTTGTAATATATTTTATTGATTTTTTAAAAACATAAATCACTTAATAATTGGTAAACAGTGTGTTGTCTGGATTACATTTGCAAAACAATTGATTTCTATAATCCATAATCCCCATAATGATTTTAGTTGATTTCCTCTTTTCCCAAAATATCCTCTTTTGCAAACATTGAGTTAATACAATTCTTATTGTTTTGATAGATAACAATAAAATTTATAATTTTTTCCCAATATTCCTAAAAATAATAATCACGTCAATATAATATTTCTTTTCTATCCAATCATTCTGGTTGCCTTATCATAGATAAGTGGTGGCGAACCTATGGCACTCAGAGCCCTCTCTGTGGGCATGCGCGCCATTGCCCCAGTCCTAGGCCTTCAGCTGGGTTTTATAAAACCTTTTCGCTTTAGGCTTCTGCTGACGTGTGCAAAAAATAAAAGGTTCAGTCAATTTCAGCTTCTGGCGGGAAAAAAAAAGATCTTGCAAAGTTGGAATTGATTGATTGAACTTTTTAGTTCCACCCAGTCTGCCCTTACCACCACAGCCATGCCCACCCAATGGGCCACACACCCCAATTAGCCACACCCAGCCAATGGGCCACACCCACCCAGCACCCGACGATGCATAAGTGGGTTTTGGGTTGCAGTTTGGGCACTTGGTCTCTAAAAGGTTCGCCATCACTGTCATAGATCCTGTTACAATCCTTATTTTAATTTATTTCTCCCATCAAATTCTAGGTATTCTTACTAGTTAAGATTTTCTCAAAAATGAATTACATTTAAAAATTTAATTCTATTTTTCCATATGAACCATCTCACACTTTTACATTTCTTAAGGAATAGATAAAACAATGAAAAAAAAGAAAGGACAGCAAACGTAAAGAAACATAAAAAATAACATACTACTTAAAATATATATCCCTCCTAAGTTAATATATATTTATTTCCTAAATTTCTTATTCTTTTAACCACAATTAAAAATATGTTTAATCTTTAAACATTCCATTTAATACAACTAGACATCTTGTCCTTTAACTCTTATTGAAAACATTTTTATCCATTATAATTTTTTTAAATTCAATCACATTTAAGTATCTAAAACATTTCCTTTATCTAAGTTATTTCAATTTTTTTATATTAATCATATCAAGAAAGAAAACAAAAAAGGGAAAAAAGCATACTATTTTATTTAGGGAATTCATCCCTCTTAGAATGACATATATATTCCAAAACTTTTCTATTTCTTTAACCATATTCAAACAAATGTTTCTTTTTTAAGTATTCTCTCTGGTAAGTCCCATCATCTATTTTCTTGGTTTCCACTTTAGTCTTTTTCCTTTGCCCAGTATCTTTCTTAATCAATGTATTTTGCTGAATCAAAAAGTTTTTCCATATGTTCGTAAATGTTGCTGTAGATATAAAAAGTAAATCAGGTGAAGTGTCTTTGTATGGGGCTTCTGCCTTTCCATGTTTGTTGAAAATCTTTTTTTTCTTCTTTCTCTCTGCTTCTCTTATCATTTCCTTTCTCTCCGATGTTCCTGACATCTCTACAGTCCATTTTATTCAATCTATTTTCTTGTCCTCAGATTTATTTTGTAGTCTTAAGAGATAAGCTGTTTTTTCCAATTCTTGTAAAGAATTTTCCACTAGGGTTAAATCATATTTCCTTGTTTGGTTAAGTTCCATCTTTAAGTCTCTGTTCTCAATTCTATATCCGTTTATCTGTTTTATCTGCACCTTCTCTGTTGTTGTTTTCTGGGAATTTTTTTGTTGTAGAGTTAACTTAGAAATAGATTGATTTATATTTTCAAAGTTATTTTGGATTTCTTTGTGGTTTATAGTCATTGTTGTTTGAATTAGTTGCAATATACTATATACAGTATCTCCTTCTGTGAAGTATTTATGTTTTCTTGATATGTTCTTAGAAAGATTTTCTTATTGGTCATATTTGATAATTTCACTACAATCATTCAGCATTACCATGTAAATCTGAATGGTTCTGCCATTGTTTAGCTGAACATATAAAATAAATGATGTATTTCTTTATTTACTCTTTGTTTTTTCCAAGAAGGCCATCTAGTTTTTATTTAACTGTTATTACAGGTATAACAAATATGTTAATCTTAGCACTCAAAGGATCTAACAATGTCTGCATTGTATATATCAGACTGAAAACATTTAAATTCAATTTTAATATTTTTCCCTTACATTTTTGAAGTAGATGCATATTGTTGTTGTTGTTAGTTACGAAGTCGTGTCCGACCCATCGCGACCCCATGGACAACGTTCCTCTAGGCTTTCCTGTCCTCTACCATCTTCTGGAGTCCATTTAAGCTCAC